GGCGAATAATGGCCATTGGCTGGCGATAGTGGCTACAGAACCTGGTGGCTACAGAACCTGGCTCCCTTGTCTCCATGCGGAGCAGCTTTGTGGTGTCATTCACATTCTGGAGCTCCTGATGGGATCAGGTGGAAGTTAGATTTCAGTCAGGACCACCTCTTTGTGTGACTGCTTCCCCGGCCTCACCCTGCTTCCCCGACTGCCTTACAAGTTTCTCAAGACAGCATCTGTTTAGGAATTGCTGGCTTGGGCGCTGGTTCTAGAGCACCTGGCCTCTGACATCCCTTTTGGGTGCTGGCCCTTTAGGACCAAAGCGTGAGTCAAGAGCCTTGCTACTGAAATTGGCCCACGGATCAGCACCTCAGCATCGCCTGGGATCCCGCTAGCATTGCAGAATCCGGAGCCTCAGCTAGACCTGCTGAGCCTGCATCTGGAGACTTGTTCTTGCCCACAAGGGAGCCACCAATCCTGAAAATGCCTGGGAGGTTAATCCAGGGAGATAGTATCCCTCTCCCAGGGCAGGCAGCTCATGGCCAATGGCTGGCGATAGTGGCTACAGAACCTGGTGGCTACAGAACCTGGCTTTTAACAAGACCCCAAAGAAGTTTGCATGCACATCAAAGTTTGAGAAGGTTGGCTCAACTGCAAGTGCGTAGATGGGAGGGAGGGCCCTGCTGCATGATACTGAGGAGGCCCCAGGTTTGGATCTCAGGTTGACCTGGACTTGCCACATGCATTTGTAATCCTGGCTGTCTGGGAGACTAGGGGAAGGTTGACAGCATGGTGGGACCCTGTCCATGAAATAAATCAATAAGTGAACTTTAAAAAAAGAGAGAGAGAGAAAGGGAAACAAAGTTTGGGAAGGCAATCCTACCTAGCTCATTAATGTCACAGGACAGGGTGAGCTCGAGGTACAGCACAGGGGGAGACATCGGCTCTTCCTCCGTCTAACTTCCAGGGGAGCCCGGGGAGGCTGGATAAAGAAGGGAGTCTGTGTTAGGAGGTCTAGAATTTGAGCTACCTCCCTGCACACAGGGTGAGAAATACTTTTTGAGGAGAAAGCACAGGCAGTAGAAACGTGAGGAGTTGACAAAAATGGAGGATTTACCCTATGCAAAAGGGACATGCCATTCCCGGGTCACGTGTGGTTCCTAACGCCTCCCTCCCGTCAACTCAGGCTGGCCGGAGGTCAGGCACTCAACTCGGGGTTTCCTATCCTTCCATCTAGAACACACAGAACCTGGACAAGCTGATTTCAAAGATGCACAGCAGAGTGCTTTCCGTTTGGGTCTAAGAAGAAAACGAAACAAACACAACAGCCCCTGTAACTACAGATGAAAGCCTCAGACGGAGATGAGAGCTCCATCAACTAAGAGAGGCATTTGCTGAGGTAATGGACCCCACGGTGCAAAAGTTAAGGCCTGTGGAAACATTCCATCAAAATTTTTGTAAGAAAAAAAATAAAGGAAGGAAGGATGAAAGGAAAGAAGGAAGTCAGGGAGGATGAAATCACAGAGCAGGTGCTTTCTGGGCAGTACACCCAGGGACCAAAAGAAACCACGGCATGGGTAGCAATTTCCCAGCCCATGGGGCCACGTGGCGTGGACAGAATGGGCCTGACAGCGACACACTCTCACCATAAGGTTGCTCGGCCTCCTGCACCGGGCTGTGCTCCCCGGAGCTTGCACGATGCTCAGAGGTCAGCAGACGCCCTGGAGCCAAGTCGCCTGGTTGAATTCCAGACACTGAATAAAGAGGGTGGTTTCTGGACAAAACTTTGGAATTTCCCTTCCTTGCCTCAGATGCCCAGAGCTACTCGGGAACCCCTCAACGGAGTGCCTGATTAGGGCTGACCCCCTGTAGGCAGTGGCTCACCGTTCTGAACTTCTCCAACGCTTTCCTTCCATCACAATGTTTAGTCAGTCTCCTCTCCTGTGCCTTCTGCTCTAGCAGCCAGCAGATCCATGTGGCTGTCTATCGCCAGTCACGCCAGCCACATTTCAGGTGTTCAGTCACCTTAGGTGGTGAGTGGCCCCCGTAATGGACAGCACGGATACAGGACATTTCCGTCATCAGAGAAAGTTCTGTTGGGCAGTGCTGTTCTCTGCTACCCCTGTGCATTTTCATGTGGCCAAGTACCAGCCCTGTGCTTGGGCACATGGCGGGTGGGGGCAGTATTCAGAATGCCTTCAGGGTCTCCCCACCTCGCTCCCACCATGTATCCTCCTTGGACATCCTCCCTCACTCTCTCCTGCAGATACCATCGGCTTCCCTCCCCCTTTCCTGCAGATACCATCGGCTGCTCTCTGTACGCCCACCCCTCCTTGTGCTCTGTCACCATAGATGACCAAGTTGTCTGCCTTCTACCACTTGTTGAAATCCCCTCTACAGCCTCAGAATAGCTTTCAGCTCAGCATCATGGTCATCACTTAGATATACTGTGTCCTCAGAAAAGTCATAATGTGTTTTTGTGTTTTTCTATGCAAAAATATGTCGTGACTTTCCCACTGACCCAATATATTCAAAGTTGATTTATTGAGAGGAGAGAGAGAAAAACGCCCCCCCCCCCCCCGTAAGCGCATGCCTGGCATACTCAGGGAGGTCTTGAACAGGGAACCTTAGGATGTGCGACTGCCTCACAGAGCATCACGTTTTACTGCTGTGCCACCACCTGGTCCCGCCCATTGCCTCTGTTTACTACAATAGCTGTAATTTTTCCAAACATCGGAATTGAACCTGAGAGTTTGACACAACTTGCCCTTGTTCTACTTGCCCTTCCCGCATCCAAAGTCTCGGTAAGGAGGCCTCAGAGCCTGAAGTTCAGAGCCAAGGCCCTGAGAGGTTTCAGCTGCCCTGCCTTTCACCTGCACGATGACGTGTCTCTTCTAGATCTGGCCTGATTTCCCTGGACCGATGGGGGTAGTTGTAGCTGTTGAAAATCGCAGATGGGACAGTGCACACAGCGTCTCATTTAACACAATTCAAACAGTTCCTTAATTTGGGTACTGGGGGCTTCCTTTCCTGGAGCGTTCCTGTGGTCTCCACTGGGGTTCCTTAGTTATTTATTTATTTTGGGGGGGGAGGTTTTCACTACAGGGCGTGTGCGCTCGCCAAAAAGACAGAGAGAGAGACAGAAAGCGAGAAATCATCCCCCCACCCCGGGAGGATGGCCACGCCGCAATCCCTTCTCCTCCATTCTCTCCTCGGGATCTTGGACACGCATGCGCACGCACCCAGTGTGAGTTTAAGCCACCAGATCCAGGACTTGAACTGCGGTCGACTACATGGGAGTTCAGCGACATAGCCATTACACCAACTGCTGGTCCCAGATTCCTTAGTTATTAAGCCACCGGGGAGAGGAGTGAAGCCATTTGAGGCCTTTGCAAATGTCCCTTCATTTAATCCTCAGGAAAACTCCTGAGTGTAAATCAGGCAGCTGTCACCCAGCTGAGTGTCCCTGGATGACAGTGATGGCAGCAATAAAGAATGATATTATAATGATGATTCACAGTTGTTTACCTCTTGATATTTTTCTTAATTGTGAGGTATTTTAAAAATACACAAAAAGAATAAGAGCAACATCCAACTACCTACCACCCAGATTTAACAAATGTTAGCATTTACCATATTAGTTTCAGACTAAAAAATAATTACAGCGACAGTTGCAGTGTCCTTTGTATCCCTCCCCCAGAAGTAGTGATTCTTCCTTTTTTTTTTTTTTGGAGGGGTTTTGCTATAGGGTGCATGCACTCAACAGAAAGACAGAGAGAGACAGAAAGTGAGAGCCCACCCGCCCCAGAGGGGATGGCCACGCCACAATCCCTTCTCCTCCATCCTCCTCTTGGGATCTTGGGCACACACGCACACATGCCCAGCGTGAATTTAAGCCAGTGGGTCCGGGACTCAAACTACAGTCAACTACATGGGAGTCCAGCGACATAGCCATTACGCTAACTGCTGGCCCCTGGTGTGTGTACTTCTCTGTTTGTTTGGGTTTTTTTTTGAGAGATTTTCTTTTTCTTTAGGGTATTTGCACTCACCAGAGAGACAGACAGAAAGCAAGAAAGCCCCCCTCCCCCAAGGGGGATAGCCCCATTGAAAACTCCTCTACTCTCCTCTCAAAATTTTGGGCATGCACACTCACACACCTGGCCTGGGTTTCAAGCCACCAGGCCTGTGACTCGAACTGCAATCAGCCAGGAGGGAGTCCAGTGCCTCAGCACATGCCACCTGCTGGCCCCTCATCTGTGTTTAGTATGTTTACTGGTAGGTGCAAGCCCTATGAACAGTTCAGAGTGCTTTATGTATGTGCTTGAAATTTGCATAAATGATTGCACACACATTGCAGTTGTTTCTCACTCAGCACTGTATGTTCAAGATCTGTCCATACTGAAAGCTGTAAGATCTAGTTCACTCGCGTAATCTGTTGTCTCATATTTCAGTATATGAATAAATCATGTTTCATTTATTTACTCTCCTGCCAATGACATCGAGGTTGCTTCCAAGTTTTCTTTGTAACAAACAATGCTACCACGAGCATGTTTGTACATCCCTTCATGCACATGCTCGGGAGTTTTGGGTTGTGTATCTTAGAGGGTCACATATGATTCCACATGGTCTCGTGTCCAATCTTCCTAGAGCCCCAGTGCACCACACTGAGCAGGTATTATTATCCTGGTGACAGACATGAGGAGCCCCACAGAGGTTGCATCTCACCCGAAGCGAGTCAGCTGGCTTGCTAAGGGGCTAGCACACATTGTCTTAATCCAACATCGACTGATACAGGCTCATGCGACGGTTCTGAAACTTCCTGATGATGTGATCTGGGGCGGCTTCCTTCAATTCCTGTAGCATTAAATTATACCATGCATTTTATAGTGTTGTTGTAAAGATTAACTTAATAAATATAAAAGCATCCAGCCCTGGACCAGCTGATGGCATGGAAATTAAGGGGGCTGCATCCAAGATGGCCAACTGTGAGGATCAAGTCCCAGACCCAGGGGCTTGAAAATCATCCTGGGTACATGTGCGTGCATGCCCAAAATCCTGAGAGGAGAATGAGAGAGAAGGGATTGGGAGGGCATCCTCCCAGGGCATGCTTTCTGACTCTTGCCACCTCTTCTCTCTCTCTGGCTAGTAAAGGTGCCATACTTAAAATAAAAGGCACCCAGCCCAGAGTCTAGCATGTACCAAACATCCAATCAACAGAACTTAAACTGAGATGATACATGCTCAAAAATATTTTAATCATGGGAACCAGTAGTTGACGTAATGGCTATGTCGCAAGACTCCCATGTAGTCAGACACGGTTCGAGTCCTGGACCCGGTGACTTAAACTCACGCCGGGCACGAGTGTATGTGTGCCCAAGATCCCGAGAGGAGAATGGAGGGGAAGGGATTGCTGCGTGGCCATCCCCCCTGGGGGGTGATTTCTCACTTTCTGTCTCTCTGTCTCTCTCTTTCTGGTAAGTGCATGCACCCTATAGCAAAAACCTCTCTAAAAAAAAATTTTAATGAAAATAATGGGTCATATGGCCATTAATTTCCTCAGTGTGATACTGTATCTCCCACTTTGCCCACTGTTCTGAAGCAAGCATGATTAAATACGACTAGCTCCTCAAGACGACAGAGGGAACCAGCTTCTGTGACTGGTAAATGGGGACTAGGAATGGAGCCCAGAAATCCACTAGGGTAGAATGTGAGTCTTTCTTTTGTAAGAACATTTGTTTTGCTACATAATATTTGAATACCAGAGAAGGATCTCAAATGCCACCAGAACAAAAACACATTTTATATAGTAAAAATCACCTTAGTTCTTTCCCGAACTGTTTGTGGAAGTCTCTGGGATTTCCTCATTTGTGTAGCGAGGGGTTGAATAGATATCTCTAAGGGTATTGGGGTGTGTGTGTGTGTGTGTGTGTATATATATATATATATATATATATATAAAACTAGGTATTTGCCATAGAACACACGTGCTTGCTAGAGAGAGACAAAACGAGGAAAAGGGAGAACTCGCCCCCTCAGGGGGAGGGCCATGCTGTAATCTCTTCTCTTCCCTTCTCCTCTCGGGATCTGGGACATGAGTTTTAAGTCATCAGGGCAGGATTTGAACTGTGGTTACTAATGGTGGGAGTCCAGTGACATAACCATTAGGACATCTGCTGGTCCTGGGCCTGGTTTGCGTTTTAAGGCACCAGGTCTGGGACTCGAATTGTGGTTGGCCGCAGGGGAGTCCGGCTCCTTAACCACCACGCCACCTGCTGGCCCAGTATTTCTTGATTTAAAACAAAATCAGTGATACTGGTTTAGTCAACATAATATGTATTTAGGCATAATTACTGTTCTCCTGGATGGATGTTCCATGGGGCCCCTAATTAAATATTCGATGATTCAAATTAATTTAGTCAGTGCTGCCTGCTCTCGTATTTCTTATTCGGATTGTGTTTAAATAGAAGTTAAGATCTTTTCGAGCAAGGTTTGGGTTTCCCGTGTTCCTGAATTATGCCAAAAGGACCATGTAATGTACTGAGGGGAGATCGGAGTCCAGAATCACACCCTGGGGTTGGCCATCTGCAGGCTGGGCGACTTCGGGTAAGTTACGTCACTTCTCCAGGTTTATTCCTGCCCCTAACCAACGAGTGCAGAAATATCTGCTTTATAATGTTGTGGCTAAGAGTCAATGAAATAAAATCCACGGAAGAGGAAGCCAGTAGTCTCCTTCTTACTCCTCTCCTGCCAGGCCTAAGGCCACTGCTCTCTACATTTCAACCCCAAATAGAAATCGTGAATTCTTTCCTTTCCTCTGAAGGCCTAGAGTGCAGCGGCTTACCCACCAGTGAGTGCAGAGAAGAGGCTTTACCCTCTGGAGTTCTCTTCTCTTTCCCAGTTGTGACAATTTCTCTGCAAACAACCAACCCCTTATTTTGTGGCTGTGTTTCCTGATTTGCCAGCTAATTCCCACCTTTGGAAACAGCCCAGGGGTGATGTTCTCTGGAGAGTTATCAAAACTGCTGACTTTTGACTCTTTTTGCCAAAGTCCCTCCTAAGGGATTTGCAGTGGGTTTGTGGTTGGCAGGTGCTGTCCCAGCAGAAGACATGAGCCCACGAAATGAGGGGGTCTGCTGAGTATGCCAGGGTGATGTGCCCAAGCCCCACAAGAGGGGGTACCCAGCAGAGACAGACAGGTTAGATGTAACACAGTCCCTGCCCCCCTCTCAGTGGTGACAATGCGCTGGCTCCAGGCACACTGGAGCCCTTGGTAATCCATCAGGGTGCTAATCCAGGTGGCCCTCACTAGGGATGGAGCCGGGGTGAGGGGTGGGTAATTAAGCGCCTATAGCAGCCCTCTCCCATACATAGTTAATGCACGAGGCGACATTCAATCACCGCCCAGCGCAGCAGCAGGAGCACAGCAGCTAACTGTGCACCAGGCTACAGCCCTTGGGCTGCGGGTCTGGCCATAGCTGGACCTGGCCTGGTTCCCTGTACACCACTTCCAATGAGGGCCAGGGAAAAATTCCTAGGGACTGGATTAAACAACCGGCATCCTTCCACCACGCAGAAAGAGATGCGGGGAGGGCTGCCGGGCTTCCGCCTCATGCCTCTCAGTGAGGGCCGTGGGGTCTCACTTCCAATCCTGTGCTACACTGGGAAGGGAAGATGGGCATGAGGAACTGGGCCAGGAGAGAGCGAGACTGCTGGGCACTGTCGTAGGTCAAAGGTGGGGACCAGACCCAGAGAAGGCAGAGAAACAGCAGCCATGCCGGCTACAGGCTGCATTTCACTGAGGTAACGTGGTAGGGAGCTGGCAGCAGGGACCGCCTGTGAACAGGTGGCTGCCGTGGCCCTGCCCGGAGGCTGTCCATCACATACCCATCCACCTGCCCACCCTGGTCCGCAAGCTGACTCCTCACCTCCAGCCCTAGAGACCTCTGTGCTCACCTGGGAATGGGAAGGAGCACAGTCTGCACTGTCAGGGCAGGCGGGAGCTGGAAAGGACGCCCCGGTTCTTAGAGTTCTTCTCTTTCTGATTTGTCTCCTGAGAATGGAGCTAGGAGTGGTCAGCAGAGAGGGAGAGAGTGATATTCTGGGGGCAGCAAACAGCCTGTGTGAGATCCCAGTGGTCAGGATAAACGGCATGTACGTGAGGAGAGCGTTGGATAGACACGCCCAAGTTCACACATCCCAAATAAACCCCTCATGACCACGACCTCCTCCAGGGCTCCTCCACCCTGGCCTCATCGCAAATGTGGATGGAGCTCCATCCTTGCAGCCTTTTAGTCACTCGGGCCAAACCCTATAAAGTGCTCCCACATTCCAGCTCTCCAGCAAGTCTTGTCGTCCCTCGTTTAGGATTCCCACCACTGAGCTCTGAGCACCGTCTTCCAGCTGGTCTCCCGCCTCTGCTGCAGCCTTTCAATCTACCCTGTAGCCTGTATCCTAATTGATTTTCTGGAACGTGTCTCGACATGGGCTCCCCCCCCCAACGCCCCTAGTGAGTCTGTGCATTCTACAGGATAAAAAGAAGTCCCATTTACATGATTTACCTGGTCTCTTGGGATGTAATCCTGTCTTAGTCCATTACTGTGTTGCTAAGCAGAAATACCCAGGCTGGGTCATTTATCTCAACAGAGGTTTCTTTGACTCACGATTCTGGTGGCTGCAAGGTTCAGGGCATCACAACATGGTGGAAGGCAGACAGGCAGACTTTTTTTTTTTTTTTTTTTGACAACCATAATGAAAGCCATCAAACTACTGTAAGTCAAAAACTGCTGTTAAAGCTATCAATTTATGCTACTATTCTAAAACTAAAAACTCAAGTAATACATATCTTTAAAGCTTATTCTTCCAAGTCAAACACACTTTTGTTCTTCTGAACTAATATTATTATGTTTTTACTTTTCAAGTGTGCATCTAGATTTTCTTTTAAAGCTATCTATATCACCTTGCTAACTGTGCTTACCTTGGTTTCAAAATATATTTTTTAAATTGTTTTTGGAAGCATACATGATGTGCTATTGTTATTCACTCTCCCTTTCAAAACATAAATCACTTTTCAAATGTATACGAGCAGCATAATTTCCAGTAGGGCTGCTCTCTTCTGAGAATCCCAAAACCGTTTCTATAGAGGTTTTGGGTGCTGGACATCTTCAAAGAAGGCTTGTAAAACTAAGATTAGAGTCTGATATTTTAGTAGTCTGCAAGTTCTGCCTGATAGCTAATCTTTTTTTTTTTTTTTTTTTCTGGCAGGGAGATTTTTTTTTTTTTTTTTTTTTGAGAGAGAGATTTTTGCTATAGGGCGTGTACACTCGCCAGAGAGGCAGAGAGAAAGAGAGAAATCACTCATCAGGGGGATGGCCTTGCTGTAATCTTTTTCCTCTCAAGATTTTGGGCATGTACACACATGCAACCGGTGTGAGTTTTAAACCAATGGGTCTGGGACTCAGACCACAATCGACTACATGGAAGTCCAGAGACATAACCATTACACCGTGTGCTGGTCCCATGGCAGACGTTTGAGGAAAGCAAAGTATAGTCTGTATCCACATGGCCTCTGCCAGCCTCATTCCTTCTCCTCGTAAACCCACCAGAGCTCAGTCATGGGGCCTCATCTTAACCAGCCACTGACCTCTTCCCAAAGGCCCTACCTTTCAACATCATAACTGGATCGAGCTTTCACTCTTAATCATTACAATGTTTCAACACATAAATATTTGGGGGACATAGTCAAACTATAGCAGACCTTTTCTTACTTTCCAGACTTTTCCTCCAACATTGCCCTCCATCCTCCCCCAAAAAAACACATACCATCCGGACCCTTCATTTATTCATTCTATCAATAACTTATTCACCAAAATATGCTGAATGCTTCTATGTGTCAGGCCCTGTTGGAAATAAAGCAATGCACAAAATGAATAATCTGCCCATGAAAAGATTGCATTCAGAGAAGTGGGAAATAGGAGAAAAACACGTGAACAGGCACATGCCCAGTGTGCCTGGTGGTGATAAGGGCTGCAGAGCAGAGAAGTGGAGGAGAGGATGGGCAGTGGAGGGGGTAGTGGATAAGAAGGGGGCAGAGGACCCCCCAGCAATGAAAACACTCATGAAGCCCTGTCTGCATCTTCAGCGATACCCACGGGGGGTCTGCACCCACAGCAGCTCAGAAACTGGTTGGCAAACACACATATAACCAGGCAACTGGTGAAAATAGCACGTGGGACACAGAGGTGGAAATAGGGGTCTTGTGGGTAGGAGAGACTCACTCCACTCTGACAGAGCAATCTGGGAAGCCTGCCTGAGGAGGTGGAATTTGAGCTGGGCTTTGAAATGTTGGGAGGTATGGGAATGGAGAAAGGGGGCATGAGATTTCAAGGTGTCTCCTAGGAAGAACTGGAGGAGAGCAGAGCCAGGGGATGAAAGCAGCCTGGGGAAGCTGTCATAGACGTGAGGGAGGGTCAGACTGAGGAGAGCTTTGAGGGACTTCTTGAGGAATATGCACTGAGTGAAAGCCCAAGAAGGCTGGAGAGTGGGGAACACCCTCTCCAACCAGGCTGGGCTGGGTCTTTCGCAGAAGTGAGACTGCCTTACAAGAGGAATTCACACTGTGACCTGCCAGAGGGTAGTCCTGGGTGCCCCGCATAGCAACCCAGGAAGTCCCTGGGTCTGGGGTCTGCAGGCCCACACCATGCAGAGGGACAGCTGGAAGCATCTGGGCAGGCTGGTCCTATCAGTAGAGCCCCTCCTATCAGAGGGTGCCCCTCCTGCTGTATTTGCTAGTGATCTGCTCAAACAGCCACCACCCTGTGCAGAGTGGAGGGGCCCCTGCTCTGCTGGAATGTGTGTATTCCACGGGAAGGCCACATGGAGAGGGCATGCCTTTCAAAGTCCAGAGAATGGAGCCCAGAAGCCATGGTTTCACCCGGCACTATGAGCAGGGTCTTCCCGCCCTGGAATTCCTCCCCACTCTGCTCCTGCACTGGACAGACACTACTGCCGAGAAAAATCTCAAGGCCAAATACTTTAGCCTTCTGGAAAATCTCTTCTGTGCTTTTTTTCTACGTCCTTGCTACTCCGAGTGTAGTCTGTAGACCAGCAGCATCAGCATTGCCTGGGAGCCTTATGGAAATGCAGAATCTTGGGCCCATTCCTTACCTACTGAGCCTGAATCTGCATTTTTGCAAAAGCCCCAGGTGATTTGAATATCCAGACCAACTTGCGGTGGTTCTATGTATAATTTTTTTGACTTTATGATGGTGCAAAAGCTACATCCGTTTAGTAGAAACCATATTTCAGATTTGGGGCCAGCTAGTGTCACGGTTAAGACACTGACTCCCACATGGCTGACTGTGCTGTGCAGTTCAAGTCCCAGACTTGGTGGCTTGAGAGACATGTCAAGCACATGTGTGTGTGTGTGTGTGTGTGTGTGTGTGTCCAAAAACACAAGGAGTCCAAAACCACAAGGGGAGAATGGAGGAGAAAGGATTGCAGCATGGCCATCCCCCATAGTGGATGCTTTCTCACTTTCTCTCTCTCTCTCCATCAAGCGCTGGTACCGTACGGTTAATTTTTAAAAAAAGAAGAAAAATCCAAACCTCAGATTTTGAATTCCGAACTTCTTCTGAGCTCGCGATAGCTGCTGCAGTACACCTGGTGGTTCTGCGCGGTGGCAGTAAGCGACTCTGCGTTTACGCTCAGTGCAGTGTTCAATGAATCACATGAGATATTCCATACCGTGTTATAAAATGAGCTTTGTGATGGAGGATTTTTCCCAGCTACAGGCCAACGTAAGCGTTCCGAGCTCAGCTGAGGTAGGCTAGGCCAAACTGCGATGCTCCGCTGCAGGTGAGGTGTGAAATGCACTGCGACTGAGGACATTTGCAACCTGCAGTGGGTGAATCGGACGTAACCCCATTGTCTGTACTTGGAAATCGGAGAAGCCATTTGGTCCGGCTGTGTGCAGAGCTCCCTGGGTGCTCTTTCTCAGGCTCCCTGGCAGACATGTTTACCCTCATCTACACCTTGAAATCCCATGTCCCCTTTCTCCATCCCAGTACCTTTCAACATTTCAAAACCCAGCTCAAATTCCACCTCCTCAGGCAGGCTTCCCAGATTGCTCTGTCAGAGTGGAGTGAGTCTCTCCTACCCACAAGACCCCTATTTCCACCTCTGTGTCCCACGTGCTATTTTCACCAGTTGCCTGGTTATATGTGTGTTTGCCAACCAGTTTCTGAGCTGCTGTGGGGGCACCCTCCCATGGGTATCGCTGTACCCAGGACGGCCGCACCTGGTGGTTCAGGCTGGACTGCACGGGAGCCTTCAGCTGGTGCAGCCCGAGTGCTGCGGGTGCGTGTGAGGCCAGAGGTGAGGGTCTGTGCTGGCTTAGGGGAAGAGCTGGCTTTTCTATTTTACACAAAGATGCTGGGCAGCCCGGAGGGGGCCTTGTCTGCATCCTTCTCGGCACCTGACCATTTTGCCCAGAAGATGCAGACAGGGCTTCATGAGTGTTTGTGGAACTGACGCTGTCCTGAAGTGCTAGGTGAGGCTTGGAGGCCAGCTCCTCTATGGACAATTGGAAGCTGACTGTGGCCTCACAGTCTCTCGTTCCCCTCGGTCCCTTGGGCCCTTGAGTAGTCTCCCTTGCTGCTAAAGAGGCCGCATGCATCTCTGAAAGGCGTTCAGAACTCTGTCCAGCACCATGACACCTGACAGAACCCAGCCTGGATCCTACATAGCAGCGTGCCGTCTCTGCCCGCAGCCGGGTTCTCTGAGCTGGGCAGCCTTGCTGGCTAGCTCTTTATTCTGGGTGCCGTCCCAGCTCCCTCTCTCTATCCAGCCCCACAGAGGAACCTTGCTCCCAAGCAGTTTCCTTCAGGGGCCTCCTCAGGCCGTGGGATCCCAATACAGGGAAGTCACAAAAGGAAGCAAGGACAGCCTGCCCGTGCTGGCGTGTGTCTAGGGACAGGAGAGAATGACGAGGCGGTGTGGACGGTACAAACAAGGTGGCCTCCCAAGGCCCAGGGCCGGGCTGCCTCTGAGGCCATGGACATTCGGAGGTCTGTTTCTAGGAACCCGTTCATCTGAGGCTCGGCCAGTGGGCCTTGACCTCTGAGCTCCCTGCCTTTCTGCCTTTGTTCCTCAAGAAGTCCCTCAAAGCTCTCCTCAGTCTCCACAGAGGTGGAAATAAGAGAGACTCTCTCCACTCCGACAGAGCCATCTGGGAAGGCTGCCTGAGGAGGTGGAGTTTGAGCTGGGCTCTGAAATGTTGGAAGGTACTGGAATGAAGAAAGGAAGCCTGAGATTTCGAGGTGTGGATGAGGGTAAAAACGTCTGCCAGGGAGCCTGAGAAAGAGCACCCAGGGAGCTCTGCACACAGCCGGACGCTTTCCAGGGCCCATAACCCTGGAGGCCTTGCTGGTGGCCTGCATTCTTGCACGTCTCCTGCCACTGACTCGCACAGCGCCCCACACTCACAGTCTCTGCACCATCCGCTCCCGGCCTATTTCCCCCCGTCTCACTGCCCACCCTCGAGTGCTGGCGGGCCTCTCTCCTCACACTACAGGCTTCCCTGGCTGGCCAACAGTGCAGCGTGGGCCTCACAGCTCTTTTACACTTTGGCCAGTGTGTGAGAGCACAGCTCTAACTCATGTAGGGCACTTTAACAAGGAAAAGTGGTGGCAGCCTGTGGCATGAAGGTTAAGGCAGCTGGACTTACATGGCCAACTGTGCAGTTTGAGTCCTGGGCCCGGTGGCTCAGAAAACATGCTAGGTGCGTGTGTGTGTACCCAGAATCCCAAGAGGAGAATGGAGGAGAAGGGGCTGTGGCATGGCCATCCCTGCTGGGGGTGCCTTCTCGCTTTGTCTGTCTTTCTCTCCCTCCCTCCCTCCCTCTCTCTCTCTCTCTCTGGCAAGCACACACACCCTATCACAAACTAAAAATAAGTAAATGAAAAGGTGCCCTATATGCACTGGCTGTGTTCTTCATTTCAAACCATGGCACCACCGCCCCCTAGAATGCAAGGCAGAAGTCTAGAAGCATCCTTAACTCTTCCCAACTCACACGCCTTCCAATTTAACCCTCTAAATCGTTCCAGAAGTGTCCTTCTCTATTTTGACATTCTGTCTACTTGTCGTCTCTCTCCTGGATTATATTATTTATTCCTAATTGGTCTTTCTATTTCCAACCTGGCCTTTTAAAAATCAGTCCTCTATACCATTAACATCTTTTTGTCATTGAGAGAAAATCCATGTAACAGAAGAGTCACCATCTTTACCATTTCGAGGTGCCCAATTCCATTATTTCTAGTATATTTATAATGTCGTATAGTCAGAACATTATTACCAGTGCTTTTTTTTTTTAACTACAAGATTCAAACTGGGTTATGAAATCCATTTAGTAGTTCGCAACCACAATGCAGCTTACAAAATGAAGGAGCCACAGAATAGGATAGAACAGAACAGAATGGAATGGCCCGGACTGGACTGGAGTGGAGTGGGAGAGCAAACAGAGCACAGAGCGTGGCCACGGGTGGAAGGGAAACTGCTGCCTCGTGAAGCTTCTGTTCCTAACTGAGACAGAAGCTGTGCGTAATTGTGTCCTCATAGTGTGGCGCGAGGCCATAATTCCAATGCACTCATGACCGTGGGTCACGATGAAACAGTGGGGTGGAAGCACCGTTGTGAGACTACGGTCAGCTAGAGGGACTTTAATTTGGAAATCTGAGCATGTCGCTCCCACACCAACAATGCTTGTCAATGGCCCCTTGACCAAGAAGCATTTATTGGGCCAGCAGGTGGCATGGAAGTTAAGGAGGCTGGATCCCTCATGGCCGACTTTACAGTCTGAGTCCTGGACCTGGTAGCTTGAAAATTATGTCAAGCCATGTGTGCTCAAAATCCTAGGAGCAGAATGGAGAAGAAGGGATTATGGCATGGACATCATCCTGAGGGGTGATTTTTCACTTTCCCTTTCTCTCTCTGTGTCTCTTTGTCTCTCTCCGGTAAGTACACATACTCTACAGCAATAAATAAATAAATAAATAAATAAAATAAAATTTAAAGAAGCGTGTATTTAGAATCTACTCTGTGCCCTTCACTATTCTAGGTGCTGGGGACGTAGTCAAAGAGGCAAATAAAAACACTTGCTCTGGAGTTCATATTTTTGTCAGACAAGATACAATAAATAAGAAAATTATACGGCATGTTAGAGAGTGATCAGTGCTAGGGACCAGCAGATGACATGATGCCTATGTCACTGGACTCCCATGTAGTCGACTGCGGTTTGAGTCCTGGACCCGGTGGCTTCAATTCACACCAGGCACGTGTGCGTGTGTGCCCAAGATCCCAAGGGGAGAATGAAGGAGAAGGGATTGCGGTGTGGCCATGCCCCCTGGGGAGGGGGTGATTTCTCACTTTCTGTCTATCTCTTTCTGTCTCTCTGGCAACAGATGTAGGAAAAATGCACCTATAGCAAAAATCTCTCTTAAGAAAAAAAAAAAAAGAGGGTGAGGGTGCCATGCAGATCTCTGGGAAAAGAGCATTTGGGGCAGGAGAACAGACAGTGCAAAGGTCCTGGGGCAGGAACTACCCACCTTATTTGAGGAATAAGTAGGACGTTGTGAGTGTGCAGTGGGGGACATTGAAAAGTTGAGGTCAGAAGCCAGGCCTTGAGCATGGCGGCCATGTAAAGACTTTGGCTTCTACTTCTTGTGTGGGGGGGGGGGGGGGAGTGGGAACCATTACAGAGCCTCTAGTAGGAGAAGCTTTATTTTAGAAGGGCTGTCCGCAGGATTCAAACTCCTTAAACTAAGGTCTGAGGTCCTTTACATTTTGTTCCTGCCTGCAGATCTGTACACTTCCTGCGATCTCCATCAGTAACACCCACGTACTTCCGGGCTTTGCCTCTACTGTCCGCCCTGCCCAGAAGACCACGCCTTGCGTCCCTGCCTTGGGCCTGGCTCACTTCCGCCTGTCCTCCAGCCTCAGCTCAGACGCCACCTCCTGTTACAGCCCGTCCCCTGGCCCCAGCATCTCCTGCATGTGCCAGTGGGTGGTGTGCTGCAGGCACTCCCACTCAGGCGCCTGCTTCGTTTTGCATTTTTACCAACGCTACCTTCAGCAGCCGTGCACACGACAAGGACGCAGCGCGCGAACGGTTGTAGATAACCGTCGCTGGTGAGGATGCAGCCAGGTCTAAATGGAGTTTCCCGGGCCGCCACCCAGCATCCCCATGCCTGCTCTCACACCATGGCGCCCCTTTCGGGGGTTTTCTGAGGCATTCCTTGGGGGGCAGGGGTGCAACCTACCCTTGTCCCTGGAGGAACTGAACCGATGAGACCAACTGTGAGGTGGGAGGGGTGGTGGTGGAGACGCGCGGGAGAGAACGAGAACGCAGCTTGCCTAAGGTTACAGGGCGCTCACTGAACCTGGGCATGCGCTGGCGGCGTCTGGCCCTCCTGGAGATAAACGGACACTGATACCCACCAGCCCCACTCTATCTCTTCTCCGGCAGATCCCCTTTCATCCAAAGTGCTTCATCCATTACAACCAAGGAAGGGGGGCTGCTGGGGCATCCCTGTGGCCGGTGATGCAGACAGAGCTGTGGCATTACTCTGGATCCAACCTCAGGACCCCTCAGACACCCCAGGCCAGGATGCCCAACTGCCTTGCCAAAGCTTGGAGATGAGGAAGGAAGAGAGACAGATTCCTCTTGTTCCCCTCTCCTGTGATGAGAAAGACCCACTGATTCACACATGGACTGGCCACTGGTGAAAAGAAAATCTTACACGCAATCTCCCTTCCTAATAGAGGCGACAACTTTTCTTTTCTTTCTCTGTGCCTTCCTTTAGGTAATAAGAAGCCAGCTTCCATAGATCCTGTACAGAAAGTCCTTCAGCAATCCTCCAGCCTATCCTTCCAGCTCTTCCTTGCCTGGTCTCTCCTTATAAATATTCCAAGGCGCAGCTGCCAGCAGGGGATTCATTTACAAGGGGGATCGCTTCTTGCAGCCTTGCACGGTGTCCAAGCGAATGGCTGACTACGGTGCTCGCCAGGCTCAGCCTCCTTATCTATATTTCAGATGGGACCAGGGTGAGTCCCTCCATCTCTAGTTTCAACTCTCGCTCAACCAAAATGATTTCTACTATGAAAATGCTCAGACTGAGAAACAACCACAGCAAACTATAAAGACGAAGTTACTCAGGTAGCTAGCACTACTCGTCTTTGGACACCATCAAATATGCATCGCAAAGAGGAACTGTAAGAGAAATGGGGAAGAGCCCGCCCTCCACATGGCCAGACCAATCCTGTTAAACAGCTGCTCCATTCGAAACGTTTCCAGGCCTCCTCATTCCCTTCCACTAGTTCTAGACCTATTGGGGGACAAGGTGTCTTTAGGAATTTCCCAGGAAAAAGAATGCTAGTGCCTACCTTGGAGCACCCTCCACCTGGGATTTCAGATGAGGCCCAGTGACAGCAGCAACTACTGGAGGCAGCCAGGAGGGGGCTCAGTCCTAGGAGCTCAGAGGTAGTCGGGCCTGGTGGACAGGGTGGTGGCTGGAGCTCAGACTCCGAGCTGGACACAGCGGAGCTGAGAGGGCCTTCGAGGCAGGAGAGATGCCTAAAGGCAAAGCTGCGATGCAGCTGGCTGGCAGAGCAGCAATGGAGGGAGGGAAGTTCATGCTTATGAACACCTACTATGTTCCAGGCGCTGTGATATGTGCCAAAGGGCTGTGAGCAGGTGTGGCCCCTCACCTGGGAGCACAGAGCCCAGTGGGCCAGGCAGCCAAGTCCTACTACAAGTCGGTGAGCGTCGGGGAGCAGCAGTTCCAATGGGAAGTGCAGAGAGGCCATGGTGGATGGGACAAGTGGCCGCTGGAAGCAGTCATCACCAGGGCAGGCTAGACGGCAGGGGTGGAGTGCCCCGGGCCTGTCCACGCACCCGGTCTGAATGAGTTGGCTGTCCCCCTCCAGTTAGGGCCTGGGCCCTCCGCTCAAATGGGCCTTGAAGTTCCAACTGATTTCAGTCCTCAGCTCAGATACAGGCAGGGCCACCTCTTGCTTCTGGCATGGGAACTCGGTCGACAGAAATAACATTGTTCACAGCAGCTCTTCTGCACCTTGTGGGCAGGGACGGGTGTACCAGGAAGAGCAAACACTGCCCATTGGTGAAACTTGAGGACTCCTCCAGCTGACTCACACACATACACACACACACTGAGAGACAGTGAGTCAGAGGGAAAGGGAGAGAGACACATGCACACGTGCTGCACATGTGTGCTCTGAGGAAGTGAGTGGGCCTTGTTCTTGCCCTGATCCCGGGCATGCCTCAGTTTTTTGCTTAGCAGCAGAAGAAATCCCAGGCTTCACTCCCAGGATAAACAGTTTAAGGGTCCCAGAACACCCTTCAAGGAACACAGAGTACACCTTCAAGGTGGGGTGACTCCTCGCAAACAATCTCCGCCCAAGG